AGCTACCACCACTGGGATCGTTTTGTCCCCATAATGCTACAGTTTGATTTGTTTCAATTTAAAGTTGTGATGTAAGCCAACCGTGTTATTCAGAACCCGGCGGAAAGGGCAGCTTTGACGAGGGCATCATCTAGTCAGCGTCCGGCAAGGAGCCAGGGAGCGCCCGCGTACGCGCGTACAACACGGAAGGTGCGGGGTGCAGGGTGAGCAAGTCAGCCAGGCCTCTGTCTCCCGCGGCTCACTCTCTAGGGGTGTTTGGGCTGCGGGAGGGGGCAGAAAACAAAAGGCATGAATAAAAAATTACTTTAGAGAGGACCTCGAAGGCAGGAACGACACCGGCGGGAGAGTCCGGTGCGGTCTGTTTCTGAGGATGCCACGGGTGAGCCGAGACGGGCGTCACGCCGAAGATCCAGGCTGTAAGGACCTGGGGCTTCCTGTTTATCTTATTCAGCTACAGGGACCCGAGGCTTCGTCTTCTCCTTCTCCAGGCTCACTTGAAGAGGACGGGACATGGCCTTCTAGAAAGGCCCTCAGGTCTCACAGAAAGGGGTCAGCTGCCTCCCAGCTTAGATGAGGCCACGCTCAACAAGGCACTTGACCGGCTGGGCTCACACGCCGTTCCTTGCCCCTGTGAGCCGGTCAGGGAGTCCAGCCTTGGATCCAGGGCTGGCGAGGCTGAACCCAGGCCCTGGGCCCCTTCCCTGCTCGGCGCCGGCCACCCCAGCCCTCCCACGGGCTGACCCACATCCCGGCTCTTCACGGAGGACGGGCTCTGAGTCGGGCCGAGCCAGCCCCCCCAGGCCTTTGTGCCCGGAGCGTTTCCCTCCCAGGCGCGGCAGGCAGGCCGGCCCGGGGGCCGCCCGGCTTTGTGGCGCTCCCTCTCCTGGGGTGAGTCACGGTCATGGTCACCTCCTCTATTCATTCAGAAACTGCCCACTTCAAAAGCCTCCCCTGCCAGCCTTCTATGTTTCAAACAAGTTTCTTTGCTGTGATTTTCTACAGTTATTTAACCAATTATCTTTTTTTTTTATGAATGACTTTTTTTTCTGTTTTCTGCCTTTTCCTTTCATCCTTTCAGGACTCTGAGGAGCTCAGGGTAGCTCGGGCGGCAGCGTCCAGGCCCCACCCCCGCGCCAGAGCCCAGGACTGGAGGCCCCAGGCTGGCCCCCGGCCCCCCCCACCCTGTGCCCCCACCCCCCGGGGCCCGGGCTCCAGGCCCCTCCCCCAGAGCAGAAAACCCTCACCTGCATTGTCAGCTCTGCTTTCTGGGGCACTGGAGCGCCCGCCGGAGCCCAGGGTGTGCACTGGCCCAGGGCAGAGTTAAAGCTGTAACCTCGAGGGACGCATGTCCTCCCCAAGGCTGCCTCCCCCAGACAGGCCCTCAGTGGGGCCAGACAGCTCTGCTCCCTGTCCCCAGATCCTCTCAGACCCTCTTTCATGGCCTCGAGAACCCCCAGAGCGTGGCAGGCCGGAGCCCTCGGGCCTCTGCCGGCCGAGACGGCCCCCTGCGCTCTGCCAGCTGTGGGGAAGCTGGACTCGGCCTTCCGTCCGTGTGGCACAGGCCGGGGTCCTCACTGGAGCCTCAGGGGCCAGAGGGCGCTCCGTGGCCACACACCCGCCTTCCCCGTGGCTTGCATACAAGCCCGTTGCTGGTCCTGCTGCTCCCGCAGCCCTGGGCTGTCGCCGGTCTGGGGCGGGGGCTGTGTTGAGAAGGCAGGGCTCTTGGGGCCAGAGGTGAGGGTCAGCGACCTCCCTGAGTGCACCCTCCAGCCCCTGCTTGGGCTGCGCCCCCGTCAGCGTTCAGAACCCAGAGGTGGGCTCTCCTCACCGCGGCCTCTGGGTCCCTAGCCAGGCCGTGGCCAACAGACCGGGGACGGGGGACGCCTGGGCCAGTGCGTGGCCCCCGGACAGCGGCGTGCCCTCCGAGGGCTCCGCCCGGCCGCCCTGTGAGGACGCCGTCCCCCATCCCCCCGGCCCCTGGAGAGCGGGGCCCTGCAGCCTCGGCTTGGGGATCAGTCGCCGCAGAGCTTCGGGCCAGCCTCCCTGAACGGGGGCCTTGCCCCAGGGAAGCACGCGGTCCCCCTCTGGTCCCCCTTTTAAAAGGCCTTCCGGGGGCCTGGGGTGCGGTCGGGTGGTGGGCGGGGAGTGTTCCTCTCAGGGGGGCGAGCGTGTTCGGAGGTGGCCTGGCAGCGGGGAAACCACAGGGTGCGGCGGAAGGGCGGGCTGCCTGAGTGCGGGTGGGAGCGTGATCATACGGGTGCGTGTGATCACGCACAGTTTCCCTTTGACCGTCTCACCTAGAATGTCACAGGGCGCGCTTGAGCGTGATGCTGTTCTGTTACAGAATGACACGCTCATGATTTTGTAATAAAAGTTTTTGTAATTAAAAAAAGGACCCCGTATTTATTCTTCTTTACGGGGTTTCATGAGCTGTTTCAGAGTGCATGTTTGTTTTTGGGAAGCAGGACACATATGTGACAAAGACAAGCGTGTGAACAATAAGGACATAACAGGAATCTGGGAGACCTGGAAGGAGCCTGGTCCACGGTGTCAGTCATCACCCTGGACTGTTCCAAGGGGTCAGAGTACCAGATGTCACAGTTGGCTGTCCCGCCCCGGCCCTGGGTGTGATCTGGAGGACCCAGACTGGGAACTATCTGGAAAGGCCCAGAGGGAGGAGGTGCTTTGGCTAAGGGGGGGGGGAGCGGTGTTAACAACAGGAGGGGCCTCCGTGGGCGTCAATCCCCAGGGACCGTGGGACAGTTCCAGAGGGGAGTGCTGTCAGTCCTTTCCTCACGGACGGTCATTCTCTTGGGCTCCTCCTTGCCTCTCCGTAAAGTCTCCTACAGCCGAGCCACCTGCACGGCGGGATGTGGAAAGCAGTGAGGCTGTCCAGGCTAAAGGGAGACGCGCCCCGGCTGTCCCCCTGGCCTCGCCCTAGGTGACCAAAGTGCGCACAGTCCCGCTGCAGCTCGCAGCAGGAGAGCGATGCTCCCAGGGTCCGTGGACTGCAGTGGGCGGCGAGGAAGTGCCCGGATGACGCTTTGTGAGCTAGCTTCACCAAAAAGATATGAATGTCCAGTAAATATGTGAAAGGATGCTCAAAATCATTAACCACTAGAGAAATGCAAAATAAAACCAGAATAAGATAACCATTACACTCCCCCCAGAATGCCCAAAGGGAAAAGACTGACGTCGCAGGTGTTGGGGGATATGAGGCCACCGGAAATCCCAGACACGGCTGGTCAGAGTGACGAGTGGTGCAGCCACTTCCAAAACAGTGTGCGGTGTCTCGTAAGACTAAACCCATTCTGACCACGCAATCCAGCAGCCCCACGCCTGGGTATTTATTCAAGAGAAATGAAGACGTATGCTCACACACAGACTGGTATGTGAATGGTCTAGTAGTGATATTCATAAATAACAACAACAAAAAAACCTGAAAGCAACCCGAATGTCCACCACCTGGTGAACGAATAAGCCAATGGTATGATGGAGTACTACTCCGCCCCCAAAAGGAATGACATACTAATACAAGTATATGTAGCAATGTGGGTGAATCTCAGAAACATTGTAAGCTGAAGACTTAAACACAAACAATTATGTTCTATATGATTCCATTCATATGAAACTCTGGAAGAGTCAAAATTAGGGTAACAGAAGCCAGGTCAGCGGTTGCCTGCGGCTGGAGTCGGGGAGCAGAGGCAGATGAGCAGGAAGGCTAAGCGTGCAGGGACGCTGCGGTGCTGTTAACAATCGTAGGTACTTACCAAAACGCATCAGCCTGCACACTTAATGTGGGTGAATTTCACTGTACGTCGCTAACAATCAAATATGAATTTTAAGTACCCCCTCCCCCCCACCACTTCACACCTAGATACATCGGGGGCAAACTTACGAAAACCAATGATCGAAACAGCGTCCTGAAGGCAGCCTGACACACAAGGGACAGAACGAAGATAAGAATGACAAAAGACTTCTCTTCAGAAACTCTGTGATCTAGAAGCCAGTACAGTAAAACCTTTAAAGCACAGGAAGAAAAAAAAATAACCCAGAATTCTACAGTCAGTGAAACTATCTTTCAAATGTGAAGGTGCAATAGAGACTTTCAGACAAACAGAAGGTGAGAGCATTCATTGCCAGGTGCCCTGAGCTAAAAGAAATAGTACAGGAAGATCTTCAGGCCGGAGGGGCACGATACCCGATGAACATGTGGATTTCCACAAGGAACGAATGGCATTGAAAATGGCAAAAGGGAGTGTAAGTTAGAGTTGTTAGAGAAGGTATCCATTAGAAGAGCTACAGCGTCCAGATTGCTAGAAGGGTCTCTGCAGTGAGCCTGCGCAGGTGGACTGGAGACAGGTGGATGGAAGAGACAGGTGGGGCAGAACCGCGGGCGCTTGGCCCAACACCGGGGGCGTGGCTTCGCCCTAGTGACCGAGCGCGGGCGCGCGGCTCGGCCCTCACCACCCTGGGCGTTGGGGAGGCTGGCACATACTGTCCCTGCTTGGTGGGAACCGAAACGTAGTCTCAGAGGAAACGGCGACTGTACTTGCGCAAGAAACCGTATTAAGTAACAGGCAGGATCCGGCACTTTCTATCCCGTGTTTTTGAGCTTAGTCCAGTCCCCTTGGAATCCGTGAAACAGGCACACAGATCTTGGGAGCTGTGTCGCTGCTAAGCAGTCCTCGGGCGGCACCTCTAACCCGGGGCGAGCACCTGCTCCCCGGGGAGGTCGGGAGGCCCCAGGGAGAGGGCGCGGCCCTCTCAATCGGCGGCAGGCGCACCCCACAGCAGACCCTCGCCCAGCGTGCGCGCGCAGCCGGGGCAGGGGCAGGGCGCCGCGGCGCGTCCGTTGCCAAGGCCGCGCTGCCCTGGCGACCGAGCGTCGCGGCCCCGCGCACGCGCGCTGGCGGACTCCGGTGCACTGTGGGATGGAAACAGGAGCGGCGCCTACGGGCCAGAGCGAGCGGCGGCGGCGGGGCGGGAGCGGCGGGGGCGCTGGGCTTAGGCTCCGCGGGCCGGCGGGGGCGCCGCCATGAACGCGGCGGTGGTGAAGCGGACGCAGGAGGCCCTGGGGAAGGTGATTCGGAGGCCGCCACTGACGGAGAAGCTGCTGAGCAAGCCCCCGTTCCGCTACCTGCACGACATCATCACGGAGGTGGGCCCCTGCCGGGACTGGAGTGCGGGTCGGGGCCAGTGCGGGTCGCGGTGAGGGCCGGGGCCTCGTTGGGAGTCGGGGGCTGGGACCCGGGTGTGGGCCAGCTCGGGGGTCCGGGGCCCGGGGCCCGGCCTCGGAGATCGGGGGTCGGGTGCGGGCCGTGGTCGAGGTCTGGGCCCCGGGGTCGAGGTAGGAGTCTTTGGCTGGGGCCCGGAACGAGGGCTGGCGTCAGGGTCGGGCCACGGGTGGCTGTGCCCTGCCCCTGTCCCTGAGCCCCCGCCCGCGGAGCCCCGTCTTCGGCTGTCCTGCCGCCCGAGGGACTACCACGGGCCCAACCCCGCAGTGTGTCTGCGCGGAGTGCCTCGCCTTCACCCTTGCTCTGCCCTTGTCATCCCTCGCTCCGGGCCACCGCTCTCCGCCTCCGCTTCCTGGGAGCCCGGGCCCCTCAGGGAGCACCCTCTCTTTCCAGCCTGCCCATGTGTCTGTTAGAGCACATCCACGTCTTCCCTCTACCTGCCTGAGCTGTTGCCGTGGTAATTTTTCTTCAGTGCCTAGTACGTGGAGGCACTCAGAAGTCCTGGGAGAAGGAAATTATTCTTTTTTACTAACAACTTCCCCCCGGGTTCCCCTCCACAGGGCTCCGCAAGTGGTCACCACATATTGGATGTTTAACGAATACCTGTGGGTGAATTCACTGAGTGGTGGCAGGGGGCCTGGAAGGGGGACCAATGAGAGCGCAGGCTGGCGTTTGCTGGCAGATGGCACCGCCTGCCTTGGTTGAGGCTGGTTGTCACCCTTCCTGGGCGGAAGGTGAACTGCTGAGTGAGGAGACTGTAACTTGTTTGTCGGCACATCCTACCTGGGCTGCACCAGGTGAGGTACGCGGAAGGTGTTCACAAACACTGACTGTTACCTGGGATCTGTTAAGACTCCTGGTAACTCGGGGCGGCGGCCAGCTCCACGGGGCACCTGGGAAGCTGTGCTGGGGCGTGCTCTGTGGAGTGAGGACGCAGCTTGACCGTGAGGGCTTCCCGCGGCTCCCAGTCCCGCCCCGTGTGGGTCCTGCGGCGCCGTTTCCCACTCTCTGCCGCAGGCCGGGTGTCCAGCCCTTCCACGAGCCGTGCTCTGCCCGCCTCGGAGGGGTTGGTTTGTAACATGTGCCTCTGTCTTAAAGCCCAAGTGACTCCTAGAGCCTGATGGGAACCCGCCCGCTCCTCCTGCCGCCCTGGACTGCGAGCGGGGAGCGAGTGGGGGGCGGCTCAGCCCGGTGCCGCTTCACCTCCGTCCTGTGGAGCGGGCAGGTGGCCCCCTCTCACCCGGGAGGGCACAATCGGCCACCGGCACGGGAGCCGCGGAGGACAGCCTCGCACGCTTCTTGCTCGTCAGCCTGTCAGGGAGGGAGGCGGGCACGTGCTGCCTCCTGTGGGTCGCGGGGCCGCTGGACAGACCTGCAGGAAAGCGTTTTCAGATAACAGGTGTAGCCTCGTATGGACAGTCGCTACGGCCCCCGGGTGTTGTATTTAAATCACCATCTTTGTGCTTTAGACACAGTGAGCCTGACTTTGCTTCTTTTGTAGGTCAAAGCCTTGATCTCGTGATGTGTATGTCTCTTGTCATTTAAAATTATTGTTCACAATTTTAACTGCCAGCGAATTGGGAAACCTCAAAAGAGAGGAAATGATAAGGTTCCAGGAATACAAGGTGCAGGATGGTGTTAACGTTCCACCTGTCTTCTCAGGAAAAACAGTTGTGCAGCGCTTCCGTGGTTTGATGAGAAGCGAAAATGTTACTGATAGCGGCTGCGGCTGGGTCTCCGAGAAGCACTTGATGTTAATGTGGGACTGGTTTTCTACACTGTGTCTTCCAGGAATAAATACACTTTACATCCACCTGGGACACGCACACATGGATACACTCGCCCCTTCTACAGACAGTGCTGTCTGATATATTTTTTTTGTTTCATTAAAAAAATGCTGCTGTTACCTATTGTGTTGATTTTACAGGAACCTGCCGTATTTTGGAAAACGCTGGTCCGGGGGAACCCAGAGTCCCCCCAGAGGCACAGGCTGGGAGGCACGGGCTGGCGCGGGGGGCGGCTGAGGGGAGAGCGGAGGCAACGCGGCGCGGGGCTGTGTCCCGGGACGTGGGCAGCCAGTGAGGGAGAAGGACCTCCCGTGCAGTTACAGACCCAGGCTGGGAAGTTCCTTTACTTTCTGGAAGCCGTTCCCGCCACTGGGCCTGAGTGATCTTATAAGATGCTGTCCCCTGCTTTTTTTGTTTTTTAATTCCCCGCTTCCGAAGCTCTCAGGGCTCCTTGGGGTCCGATGCTCAGTCCTGTTCCTGAGTGGCTCCGAAGGCCGCCCGGGCCAGGCCCCGCCTGACTCTGGTCTCAGCTCCTCCTGTCCCGGGTGCCTGGTGACCCCTGCACAGGACCCTCTCGGCCGGACCCCCCAGGACTGCCCGTGTGGCCTGGCAGCGCCGCCTCCTCCGCGCCCTCCCTGCTCCCCTCCTCCTGAGCCTCTGGCAGCCGTCCAGATCTGGTTTCTCCCGGGCGGTCCCTGACCCGCCTCGCCCCTCCCGTGTGTGGGGTGGGTGCTGGCCCCCGTGCCCTTGCCGCCCTGCAAGTCCCTGTCATGTTACCTGTGCCGCAGCCAGGCTGGCTTCTGCCTGGTGCCAGGCCTCGCACGTGGGAGACGTGCCTCCGTTGAGTGAGCGCCGGAATGCGATCCCGGCGCCGACGGGCTCGGTCCGGGGCGGGGCGTGGGCGTAGCGGGGGAGGCCGATGGCGGCTGTGGCGCGGGCGCCGATGTGGCTTTGCTTTCCCTTTCGAAGGTGATTCGCGTGACCGGCTTCATGAAGGGCCTGTACACGGACGCTGAGATGAAGTCGGATCACGTGAAGGTAGGCGGGCGCCTCGCCTGCGGGGGCGGGGCTTCCGTAAGCCGGGGGCGGGCGTGACCCTCCTGTGCTGGCCGTGGTTGGGCTGCGAGGTCCAGTAATTCCTGAGGTGCCGTACACACTCTCATTTTCTCATGTTCGGTGGCTGCATCCGTGCTGGTTTCATGCACTGCGAAATCGGATGGTGCAGCAAGGTCCGTGCTGGCCCATCCACTAACGTTAAAGGCTTTAATGAACTGTTTTTGTTTTGTTACATAGGGCCAGTATTTATAAATTTGACATTTAAAAATAGCTTTTTAGGCAAACAGGAACCATGTCTATTGAACATGCGAAGTAAACTTTTTTGAAGTATTTCCTTATCTACATTTTAACTGGAAACTTTTCAGGACAAAGACGCGAAGATCAGCTTCCTGCAGAAGGCCATAGACGTGGTGGTGATAGTTTCCGGAGAGCCGCTGTCGGCGAAGCCCGCCCGGATCGTGGCCGGCCGGGAGCCCGAGAGCACCAACGAGCTGCTGCAGCGGATCGGCAGGTGCTGCCTGAGCAAGGTAGCATGGCGCGGGCGGCGGGGCGGGCGGCGGGGTGCTGTGTGCTGGGCGCCGCGTGTTGAATCTAATGCCGCTTCTCTTGGAACCACGGAGCGAGAGGAGACAGGTGCCAAGTCCCACAGGCACACAGTGTGACATTGGGACTCGGCGGCCCTCGGCTTCGGGGCCGGTGGCAGAGGCCGCGTGCCCAGGCCTGTGTCCCTCCTGTTGGGCCTCCTTTTGGGGCATTTCTGACTGGGGGCGGGGGGCGGGTGGAGGGGCTGCTCTTCCTCTTTGGGGCTCATGGACACCCCTGTTCTCTGCCTGCCTGCCTGACCTCCGGGGTTTCCCTCTCCCGCTCCCTCCCACCCTCCCCGCCTCTTGCCCCCCCATCACCCTCCCTCCTCTCCGCCCCGCCCACAGTCGTTTGCAGAGCTGTGCTGCCTTCAGAGGGGCCCTCTCCCAGTCGGGCGGGGACTGGGTCTGACGCTTGCTGGGTCCTCTCCAGGGGCAGAGTCGCGGCCTCTCCGGTTGGCTCCAGCCTGGCCCCTGTCTGCCGGGACGTTGGAGAAGGCTGTCCCCAGGACCGGCCTTTGTGGGCGCCGGGCGGCCCCAGGGGAGCGGAGCTCGACCTTTATCTGGGGCGTAGCTGACAAAGCCCTTCGCGTACCTGGTGGGTTGTGGGCTGGGGCTCGCCTTTGGTGTTCCTGACAGCGGCCTTTCCGGTCTGCGTCCGGCTCGCCGGGCAGAGGCCCAGAAGCTGATGTTGCCGGGTGAGGGGCTCTGTCCCCAGCCTCCACCCCACTTCCTTCGTGTTGCTCCTCTTTCTAAAAAGCAGATCAACTCCCGTCGTTCCTTTGAGGCTTGTCGTCGCCTTGGGTGGGGGCGGGGATGCACAGACAGCTCTGTGATGGGGCCGGCAAGGCCCCTCGAGACCTGCCGCTGCGCCCAGTCCTCTAGTTCTCGCTTGTCTGCCGCGCCTGTGCCCGCCGGTGTCCTGCCCTGGTCGGGCGCCCTCCTCCCGGCTTCCACTGGCAGCAGTGTGGGACCCCTGGCCTTCCCTCCTCCCAGGCTGACTTGAGTGTCCCATCGTGTCCCCGTAGCCCACGGCCGTGCAGCTGTTGCCTTTGGCCACGTCCCCTCGTGTGCAGCGTGTCCCCAGCCCGGGGTCCCTCGGCGCCTCCCCGTGGAGAGTGGGCGAGCGTGAGGCCTGGCGTGGATTCCTGCTGGGGCTGCGCTCAGGCTCCGGGTGGGCGGCGCTCGCGACTGCCTGGCTTCTCTCATCTCTGGGAGCGAGTGCCATCTTCCCTTCGGGCCCTTTCATGCTGGCTCTCTGTGACCTTGTCACAGCTGGAGGCGTTCGTGGAGTCGTCCTCGAGCAGCCACGTCCCCACGCGGGACGTGCTGGGCGTGGGCAGGCTCTACCGTCCCCACGCGGAGCAGGTGCTGAGCAGGCCCAGCAGGCACTGCCCCCAGGGCCTTACCCTGCGCGTCTCACTGAGGGACAAAGAACCTGGGCTGTGAGCGGCCTCTGAACGTGGCTGTTGGTGTCTGTCACCCGTCTAATCCCGTTTTCACCCTGCATTTCACCTCCTCCCGCCGGGACGACAAGCTGCCCAGTGACGACGCGGTGAAGAGAGTGCTGGCCGGAGAGAAGGGGGACGTGCAGGGAAGGGCCCCGCTGCCGTCTAAGCCTCACGAGTCGGACAACAGGAACGCGAGGGAAGAGGGGCCCGGGGCCCCCAAAGATAAAGAGGTGACTGCAGGGCGGGGCCCTGGAACGCGGGACAGTGAGTCTTTTTGCAGTTCAGGCAACGGTGTTTGTAAGTGATCTCCTTATGTGACTTTTTTCAGGGTAGAGGAAATTCTGAAATAAACGAGAGAAGTACAAGCAGAGATCGAAAGCAGAAAGAACTGAAAGAAGAAAGCAAACCAAGGGACAAGGAAAGGGACAAGGAGAAGATCAGGGAGACTGACCGTGATCGACATAAAGACCCTGAGAGAGACAAGGGCCGCGAAGGGGAGAGAGAGAGGACCAGGACCCGGGCCAGGCTCGACAGGGACAGAGAGAGAGGCAACAAGGACCGGGACAAGGATTGGGACCGCGAGCGAGAGAGGAGGAGCGAGGGAGGAAAAGAAAAGGAGCGGTGGAAGGACCGGGAGAAAGAGCGCGAGCGAGACAAGGGCAGGGACAGGGACAGGGACAGGGACAGGCGGAGGGTGAAAAACGGGGAGCATGCCCGGGACCCCGGCAGGGAGAAGAGCCGAGAGCAGGATCAGCCGGAGAAGAAGGTGAGTCCTCTCCGAGCCCGCGAGCCTCGACCTTAGGGTGTGGGCTGGTCCGCAGAGTGATTTTTGTCTCGCATAGAGCGTCATCAGGAAAGCGGGTTTTCCTTTGAGTGTGGTGGGAGAGCGGTCTCTGCGATCCCAGCGTAAAACGATGGCGGGCTCGGGTTCCCAGCAGCACCTGGGCGGGGGTGCGGCGTTTTCCCCGGGACTCCGATTCGCTCTGGGCCGTGGGGTGTGCGTGGGGGCGTGTTTTCTCCACTCGCACAGACAGCGCCGTGCGGGAGCCGAGTGCGCAGGCGCTGGGTGCACGGCTACGGGGGTGGGCCTGTGCGCCCTCGGCAAGGGCACGGGGCCCCGCGGTCGGCGGGCATGGGCGGGGCGCCCACGAGCCCTCGTTGCCGCAGCGCTTGTGTAACCAAGTGTTCGGGTAAACTCAGGGCTGAACAAGACATTCATCCGGTTCCAGTGTGTTCTAAGCGTGCGAGTCACTTTGGGCTCCCTGTGGGTGGTGCAGGTGTCCTGTCAGGGCTGATGTTCCAGCTGCCTCTTCTTGTGGGGACAGCTGGTGACCGTCAAGTGTCCTGGGAAGGAGGTTGTGGGGGCCTGCTGGCCTCCAGCCGCTACCTACCGAGGAGGGACCCGAGGGCTGGACTGGCACCAGCTCAGTGTGGGCGGTGGCGCGAGGCCCAAGCTGCGCCTTCTGCAGCGGCCCCAGCGCGTGGCATGGCCTCGGTGCTGCCCGGGGCCCAGTGGCCGATGGGAGGGCCCTGCAGTGCCCTGGGAGCCGCATACTGGGTTTGGACTGTGACTGAGTTTGTGGTTTGGGGGCCTTGGGGTCCCCCCCAGCCTGAGGTCCCGTGCCCTTCGGCAGATGTCACGAGAACCAGATTCCGCAGGAGTCGGCCCCGCAGACATTGCCTCCCCCGCAGAGTCTGGGAAGCTGTGCTCTCCCCGATCTGATGTCCCTGAGGTGCTGGCGAGCTCTGTCACGTGTCGCGGGGCGCCTGGCATCCGGGGAGGGCGCCTTCTCAGCCCTGGGGCCCGCGCTCCCGCCAGGCTGGGCGCTGCCTGCTGCCCGCGCCGCTGCCGCGATGGGCGCCTGGATGGGGAGACAGATCTCCAGGGCGGTTTTGCGCGGGGCTGTGGGCTCTGCAGGAGCCCAGCGAGGGTGACGGCTCAGTGCCCGGGTGTGTGGGCCCAGGTGCAGGGGCTGTGCACCTGCTCTGAGTTGGGCCCCCAGAGCCAGAGGCGCGTGCACACCTGCTCCGCCCCCCGGGCGGGACCGCGGCGTGGGGAGGCGGGGCCCTCCGCCGCCTCCGCTGGCTCCTGTCCGCACGGATGAGGAGGTCCCGGCCACCCTCGGGGTCTGTGAAGAAAAGGGGACCTGGTGGTGTGGACACGCTCTGAGACGTCAGCAGAGGGGCGCCCGTGTTGGGGTGAGGGAGCAGGCCGTCTGGGGGCGCGGTGCCGTCTCCCCGAGGGGGCAGCCAGGTGCCCGGGGCCCCTGCTGCGGGACGGCGCGGCGAGGACGTTGACTGTGGGGCGGAGGGCGGGCGCCTCCGGCAGCGACACCTGTCGCTCGGGGAACGGGTTCTGGGCGCAAGGTGGCGCTCACAGCCCCCTGTCACTTGTCCCAAGAGTGCGGTCCCGCCGCAGCGCCGGGAGCCTTTGGAGAAAGAGCCAGTGCCTCTGGGGGGGACCCGCTCCCAGAGCAGCGGGCGCTGGGTCTCTGTGGTTCTCCCGCCCCGGTCGTCAGAGTCCCCGGGCCGCGCCGGCACGTCCCGAGCGGTGTGGCCTGGCGTCCGGGCGGCCCTGCCCCGCAGGGCCCCAGTGTCCCGAGAGGCGCTGCCTCCGAGGGCTCACGCCTGTCCCTGTCCCGTGCCCCTGCCCTGCCCCTGGAGGATGTGCTCGAGGAGGCCCTGGGGGGTCCGGGCAGCCCACGGCCCCCGGGAGCCCGCTCTGGACTGGGACGCGGGGGTGGGCATCTCGCGGTCGGTCCGTAAGAAACAGCTTGCATCTAGTGGCTTTTTAGATGTAGCAGATTTGGATAATTCTAGAATTTGAAGACAAGCAAAAAAAAATTTTTTTTATAGTCATCAAGCTCCAGGGAGGTGTCTAAAAAGTCGTCAGATGGACCTTTTAAAGACTCCAAAGCGGAAACAGAGGTGAGCTTTGAAAGTGACTCTAAGAGACTCGAGCCAGTGGCTGCGCTGAAGGGGTGCCTGCTGGGCGGGGCCCCTCCCAGGCCGCGGCGGGGGGCGTGGTCGCGGTTGCTGCCGGAGGGCGCTCGTCGCCTGGCCTGGCCGTCCAGTGGGCGTCCGAGGGCCTTACTCCTGGCCGCTCGCGGGCGCGTGCTGCCCTCCGGTTCCCTGTGGTGGGCCCTCGGGTCTCCTCAGCTTCTCTTAGCAAGTGGGATGCGTGGTGTCCAGGGACAGGGTGGTCACTGGGGAGACGGGGAGGTGGCGACTGGGGTGAGTCTGGGTGAGGATTAAGTCACGGGGCAGATGGGGAGGGAGGCCCCCGGAGCAGCCCCTGCAAGCTCTGCCTGGCCTGGGAGGGGCCCTGCGGCGTCTCCGGTGGTTGCGGGGGCGGCAGTGGTAGGGGGGTGGTTGAGGCAGCGCCTCAGCTTCTCCACGTGGGCCGCCCTAGGGCGCTTAGGCTCACCCCAGCTCTCAGGACGCAACCTGCATTTCGGGGAGGCATCCAGGTAGCCGCAGGGCAGAGGAACGAGGCGCGGGGTGGAGGCCATCCTGGCCCGAGGGAGGTGGCCGGGCGGAGCTGCCAGGGCGGGTGGCGGGGTGAGCTGTGTTCTCTGACTGGCGCTCACCGCTGCACGGTTACCTGTGTAGTGACCGAGGTCGAGCCAAGTGTGCTGGGCAGGTCGCTGAGCTCTTCCCGCCGTGCCCAAAGATGGAGCTCTCCACGGAGAGACGGTGGGGTCAGCTGACCTTCGGCCCTCCGGCCTCGGGCTCGCTCGCACCTCGTCGGCGGCGTTCTCACCAAGAGTGTGCGTCGCCCCTTCTGTTTCCTGTTCTTCCTCCAGTGGCGCTCGGATCCTGAATCTGCTCTGATAGCGCATCAATTAATTCTTTTCATTCTCTTTTCCCTAAGGCGGAGCTCTCCCCTAGAGCGTCCAGGTCTGTGACCACAAAGACCTCCAGACGGCGCTCCAAAGCCTCAGTGGAAGGTACGGCCACGTTTGCCACATGGGCAGCTACAAGCGGGAGCTCTTTCCTTTGCCTTCCTCACAGTATCGAGTAGAAAAACGCTTGTGCGGCCCAAAACCAGATCCGCCACCAGGGGGTGAACAGAGGCTGTGAAAGTGATGAAGCTGCGTGGCTCTTGCACACACGCACACATGCACACGGGCACCTACATGTGTGAGCTCAGGGCACCCGGGCAGTGGCGCCTCTCGCTGGGGACCTGCGTTGCAGCCTGAAAGATGCGATCGTATCTCAGTTATCTAGAAATACGCACCGGTCGTCCGCGTCTCGGGGACTGGCCTGTTGTCTAGGAGGCTGAGAGCAGGCCTGGTGCAGGGCAGACACAGCGCCTCCTGCCCCGGGACAGCTGGTTTCTGCGCAGGGTTGTCGCCGGGGCCACGCCAGCGCCGGGGCCCGCCCCCCGACAGACCCGGTGGGACAGACGGCGTGGGAGGGAGGCAGCCCGAGGCAGCCCGGGCCGCGAAGGGCTGGGGAGGCCCAGGCAGGGCAGGGTTGTGCTGAGCAGCAGGGTTTCTGAAAGGTCACCCTTTCCCTGAGTTGCGAAAGTTAAAGTGTGGCAAGAGCGTGATCCCGCGAATTTTCCATTTAGAAGCGAGACTTGGTGGTAAGTTCCAATGACACACAGCGCTCTGACGAACCTGCCTCTCTCGGTGGCGTGGGTCCCCGGGAGTGTCCGCGCTGGCACCAGCGCTTGCGCTGCGAGGACCTGCAGGGCCCTCTGCCCCGCCCCCGCCCGGGGGGCCTGCAGGGAGGCTGCCGCCGTTCCGACCCCCCTCGCTGTGCCTCCGCGCTCCCCTGCGCCCGAGCCCTCCGTTCTCTCCTGGGGGCCTCCGTCCCGGTGTGCAGGGCCCCTGTCCACTGAGGGCGTCCGCCAGGCCTCGCAAAAGCGTTTGTGTTTTACGTTTTTCACTCCATTCCGATTAACGATGTTTGCTTTCTGACTTGCCTTAGTGTTCGATTTTTATGCATTGGAAGCTGACAGTCATTTTTTTTGTTTTTGTTTGTTTTTTTGTAGTTTGTTCCCAGGTTTGAGAGATGATGATTTTGTGTTTTGTCATACATTTTTATATTTAATTGTTTTAGTTGTCTCTTATTTTAATTCATGTGGAAAGTGAGGCTCTGGATTCTACCTACTTTCCTCAAAATAGCTGCAGCGCTGCAGGCTCTCCTGCAGAGGTTCTTCCTCGACGGTCTCTCCTGCTCTGTGGTCCCAGGTGCGCCTTCCATAGCCTGGGCGTGGTGGGCTGGTTTGCTTTAACTTCCACTGCTTTCTGTTTTACTGCTGGTTTCTTATCACTGCTCTTAAAAGAAAACTTCCAGCCATTTTATTTGGCAGCTCTTCAGGCATATTTAAAAACCACTCGAAGAGTTGAAGAAGCCTGCACCCCACAGACACAGGGACCGGACTGCCCTGGACTAGCCTGGATTTGCGCTGCGCTTAGGCTGCCGTTATTTTGGGAAGCCCGGGTACCTCCTTCCCCCCGAGATGCGTGCGTGCGCCTGTCTGTCAGACAAGGTTGATGCTATTGGTTGTTTTGTTTTTAGCTTTTTGGAAATGGAATCTTCATGCTGAGCATCGTTTCTTAGTGATTGGAGTTAGAAGCTTATTGATTGTTGTAGCCGTTCCTTAAATCCAGCCTTGTGTTCACCCGCGGGTCTCCTGGAGGACTTTGGGGCTTTCTGAGCCGACAGCCGCGTGGCCTGCTTTTCTCTTCTAGTAGCTCGGGATGCCTGCGCCTGTGCTTGCTGGCGAGCTTGTGAGGCCTGACCGTCAGCGGTGCCCAGCCTCGGGGACTGCTGACTCCGTTCTGCCTCCTGCCTGCGAGCTGGGCACCGGCCCCGCGTGGATCCTCACCCAGCACAGCGGGCGCAGCCCCTGGCACTGGCGTGCGGACGTGGGCGCATCCGGGGGAGGGCCCAGCACCAGCAGGGGCGGGAGGCCTGGGACGCTGTGCTCAGCTCGAGGGACAGGCCCTGCCTTCGCTGGAGCATGAGTGTCGGGCTCGTGGGACACGCGTGTTAGTGTGTCGAGCTGTCCTGCAGCCCTCAGAACCCAGAAATGTTCTGCTTAAGAATGTAACGTTTGCCTATTCTTTTGTTTTTTAAAGGTTTTGTTTATTTTTGGAGAGGAGGGAAGGAAGGTAGAATGAGAGGGAGAGAAACACCAGTATGTGAGAGATACACGAACCTGTTGCCTCTCGCACGTGCCCCAGACTGGGGACCTGGCCCGCAACCCAGGCAGGCGCCCTGACCGGGATCGACCAGCGACCCTGTGGTTCGCAGGCCGGCGCCCAGTCCACTGAGCCACCCGGCCAGGGCTTGCCTGTCGTTAAATAGCGCATTATAATGGAACTAGTCACTTTTGAGTGAGTGAGTGCATTTAAAATTCATTTGTTTGATAATTGTGCGGCATAACAAAGTTTAGGGCATATTTTCATTGTGTGGTGTTTTTAATCCTCTCGAGAATATATTTGTTGATTTGAGAGAGAGAGGGAGGGGGAGAGAGAGAAAGAGAGACGTCGATGTGGGGAACACTGATCAGTGCCCCCACCCCCGTGCGCCCCGATTGGGAATTGAACCTGGAACCAGTGTGTAGGGACACCGTTCCAACCAATGGAGCCACCGGCCAGGGCTCATTGTGAAGAAGGGGCCGTGGGAACAGTGAGCCGCGTCGCTCCCCTGAAAGGCGGCGTGACTACCCCCACCGTGAGCTCCGTAAGAGCCCCGGGAGCCGCCTGGAGGAGGCCGGGCACGGGGTGTACGCGCCAGCGCCTTGGCCGCCTGCCTTGTTCCTGCGATTGACCGCTGACCCGGCGGAGCTCGGCCGCCGGGCGGGCAGCAGCGTGGCCTGGACCGCGACCGTGCCGCTGGCGCGGGGCAGCGAGAGGCGTGACTTAGGAATGGCACAGTAGGTGAGTCTCAGTGAAGCACCGGCCACGGTTGCCTTCTGTGATGCCGAACTGAGTTCTTCCGGAGTGTGAATCCTTGAGCGACACTGAAGGGAGAAAAACACTGTAACCTCGGCTGGAGGGGAGGTACCCGTTTCGCGAGCTGGAGTTGACTTGGCCCTGCTGTTTAAAAGCTGTGCGCCTGTGGCTCAGAGCGCGGCTCACGCCACTTCGGGGCTGTGTTCTTTCCCCAAAACTGTGCCTGTCCCATCTTCTGGGGAGAGGCACAGCTTCCCCTTAACAGGAATTGAGTGGGCCTAGCCCCATCCCCCCTTTTCTCCACTAAAGAGGAGAGCGTTTGGGGCGCGGACCCCGTACCCCACTGGTGTGGACTGGGCAGGGCCCTGGGCCCCTTTATTTGCACGTCAGGGGAGCCAGCTCCCCCCTTGAATGTACCAGACCCTGGGGGGGGTGTCACTGGGCCCTAGGGGGGGGTCACCAGCCACTCCAGGGGCAGGGACCATTTCCTCGTTTTCTGAAAGCACTTTAATGATTCCCCTCCCCCCAAGTCCCAGGGAATGGAAGGGGGACCCCGCCAGCCAAAGCATCTCCCCCTCCACAACCTCCATCTCTTCTAGCCTCTGCCCTTCCCTGGCGGAGGGAGGGAGCAGGGAGCCGTCACCCTCCACACCCACTTGCTTGCATCTCTATGTAACGTGAGCGGCAAGGAGCCCTGTTCCCTCCCTGCCCCTACCTCTCCTCCCGGTAGTGGCCTTGGATATCCCGTTGGTTAATAAAGACAATTCAACCAGCTCCCACCAAAACAAAACAAAACAAAAAAACAAAAAACAAAAAAACCCCTTAACACTCTGCCTCTAACTGCTTCCCTCCAAATACCTAGAATGCAGCTTAAAAAACAAAAAAGACATTCTCCTGCAGAGCCACAAAATTGTTGCGGCCCACAAAATTCTTGTTCCCATCTAAACTCTGTACACCTGAAAAACCCAGGCTATATTCTGGTTGTTTCAGAAAAGGTCTTAGGTTTTTAAAACCAGGGTCCAGGTAAGATTAATACACTGCGTTTTTATTGTTGTTTTTGCCGCCTCAGCCACTTTGAAGTTGGAACGGCGCTCGGGCTCTCTCTGCGCCCCGGCCCCTCTGTCCCGCACGTTCGCTTCAGGAGAGACAAGGTGGCTTGCCTCGTAGGGCGCTCCGCCTTCGGACGTGCCTCGCCATTTCCTTGTGGTGTCATTTAACGTGTGACACCCCAGTGCCCACCCCCACTTCTGTCAGACCGACCGGAAGGCCCGCGCAGACCTGGGCAGAGCGCCTGCTCCCCCTCGCCCTGGGCAGGCGCCCCGTGCCCTCGCCCCGGCGCCCTGCCGGGGCGCCCTGCGCATCTCTGCGTCCCCCGCGTGATGCTGACAGAGGCCGCTCACTGGGCTGGGGCCGGGCCAGGCGGATCCTCGGGTTAGACGCTGGGCGTTCGGTCACGTCTGCACTTACGGTCTGCAGCCCTGCCGCTGCAGGCGGCACTGGGCCCTGGCAGCGTGGCAGGCGGCCGGCGGCCGGCGGCGGGCGGTCTGTCCGGCCCGGGGGCTGACCAGGCACAGGCTGGCCCTGGGCAGGCCGCCCCCTGCGCTGTGCAGCGCGGCCCGCAGTGGGCGTCAGGGCGCGGGGGCCTTGACATGCGCGTCTGACCGGGGAGGTTGCTTGGCTGCCGGTAGTTCAGACAGCAGATGGTGCTAGTTTGCTTTTTTGCCAGTTTGTAGTAATTTTAATTTTTTATGAGTCTGTTATTTCTTTGAGCAATTACTTGGCAAAAGACTTGGCTGTATTATTAGTGAAGTTACGGTCTGTTTCTCTGTCCTTCCTGTGTGTGTGAACTTGCAGCTCAGTAAAGCTGGCGCAGGAACACAGCGAGAACTTCAAGAGATGAAGCTGTGCAGAGCGTCCTTGGTCTCCGTGAGCTATAGAATGAAGATAATCCTTTTTGTAATGTGCTTACTGTGCTAGGGGTTTCGTAGGGTGTAGGAAATATTTGACACTTTCAGAGAAAACAGAACTGAAGATCATTGGGGCGTTTTCTTCTAAACTTGATCATCTATAGCGGCCAACTGAATTTTTTGTTAGATGTGTTCACTTAGAGCTTAATATTCCATATTGATTCCTTGGCCGCCCCCTCGAGGGTATAAGAAATAACTGAGTGCTGGAATCAGATCATTCAGTTGCCACCATTTTTAAAGACTGAAAGCCGTTTCCTTAGACAATTATGTGTCCTCTACTTTGTTTATTTCTCTTACATACAGTAAAGCAGTTCTTGGACAGTTAATGACAGGTGGATAGGAACTATTTCTCTGAATCCCTTTGAGACACGATCAGATGTGTTTCCGGAAAGGGAACACTTTTCTGACTCTATTTTTGCCTCCCAGATTCTTCCTAGACATTGGGGTCCTTCAGGGAGGGGCCGCGTCCGGCCCAGGGTCCTGCACGGTTCAAGGTCTGACCCCTTTTGTTTTTCACAGGAGAAATGTTTCTCACGTGTTTGACTCCCCCCCCTAATTTCATAAACCTGGCACATCAGTCAGTAACCGGTAAACAAGTACTTGGGAGCCGTCGAGGGGACCGGGCCTGTGCGGGTGCCAAACACGCGCTCCTTCCCTTCGCCTCCCTGAAATCGCTGCGGCCGGCAGCTCCCCGGCCCCCGGACCGGCTGCGGCAGTGGGAGGCGCGGCCGGTCTGCAGTGGCTGCGGGGGCGCCGGCCACCGCCTGGCAGCCAGCGCCCCTCCCTTCGGGCCCCAGAGCCACTCGGGGGACCGTGTGGGAGCGTGTTCTCAAAGGCTGCCTTTGGGGCGCTGCTGTAAACTGCGGGCCGCCAGCGGGGGTCCGTGTTAACAAAGCCACCGGCCCGCAGGGCACCACTTTAACCGCCCATTTCAAACTGTTTTATGTCAGGACCGACTGAAGCCAACGCTCACCCAGCCAGTGTCGCAGAGGGCAGCTCAGCCGGCCTGTGGCGGGACCGCCCTGAGCCAGAACCGGCGGCGACGCGGAAAGGTAGGGCTGCCCTTTCCCTCCTTTCTGGGGGCGGGCGGGGGGACCGAGCCCCCCGGCGGAGCCCTGTCTGTGGGCGGCTCCCTTCCTGGGGTCCCACCAGGGCCACAGGCTCCCCTCGGTCTGTGATGAGTGAGTCCTGTCCCCGTCCTTGTGTGCCAGGCCTGGGCGCGGCCACTGGCTCGCTTCCGCCTCTTACATCACGGAGGGAGGGCCACTGTGGTCACAGCCGGACAGCGCCCGCCCGCCCCGTGTCCCGGGCTCCCCTCTGAGGGGGCAGAGGGGCAGGGCCCCGGCCGGGGTGGGGGGTCCAGGACGAGCGGCGGTCCCTGCTGCCGTGGCCAGGATTTGTGTGTCTGTCAGCTCTTTCAGTGTCTCAGGCTGTACCTGGTTAGTGTCTGCTTTCAGCTTAGTTTTCTCAGCATTTTTTAAGAAGTTGTGGTAACACACACATTCAGCTTTTGTCTTCTGAGGCCTGGAGCTCCTGAGAGGCTGGGGGTGCCAGGGCCTCCTCCCGTGTGGTGCCCAGGGCCGGGGCTGTGCCGGGTGGCCGCTGGGCCGGCCTGGGGTGCGGGCGCGGGCGGCAGCGGCGTGGCCAGACGAGGCTGCTGTTTGTCCATCGAACAGGAAGTGCTTGCTGGAGGCCCGGGGTACCAGGCACCGCGGCGGGGGCGCGTCGGTGCGCTCAAGTCCGGCTGAGAGTGGCGGCCTGCACCGGGCGTGGAGGGCGTGTGAGGGGGAGGGGCTTCGCCGCCCGGTCAGGGACAGCCGTCGGGCCCAGGAAGGGCCAGCCGCGGGGAGCCGTGGATGTGCGGAGGGCCAGCTGGGGGCAGGGGCATCGTGGCTATGAGGGGAGTTTAGCATCAGGGAGCTGTGATGTTTTCAGGGGTGGCTTTGTCACTTTTAGATCGGTGACTTTTCGGGGCTTGGCCAGTAGTCAGGCAGGAAGTGGCCCAGACTAGGGACCGATGGGCAGAGGCAGGTTCTAGAGGTGCCCAGATGTCTGGGCAGACACAGCCCGCGCTCTGAGGAGACAGCGGGACCACAGGGACGTCTGGCAGGGGAGCCCGGCCGCGGTACCGTCCCTGGGACGGGAGAACAGCGTGGGGCGAAGGCAGGGGAAGGGCCTGCCACGGCCTGGCCTCGGCCCTGGGGCAGGGGAGCAGCAGGTCCGGAGCGGCAGGGCCAGAGCGACCGTGAGGAGGGGCTCAGTGTGGGGGCGCGAAGGGTCGGGGACCCCCGTAAGGGTCAGAGCCGCTGTGCACCCTCAGCCTCCGGCGTCGGCCGCCGGACCCCGCGTCCCCGCCCCTCAGCACCCTGTCCGCGCTCCCTGTGAGCCCGCAGCCTGTCCCCAACGCGGCCAGCACGAGTTCTGGCCGTTCACAGGGGAGTTCACAGGGGAGACAGGGCCTGGAGCCCCGGCCTTGGGTCACACAGCAGCGCCACGTGCGTGTCTCCCAGCACCTGCCCCGGCTGCTGCCCTGCCCGGAGGGCTGCTGTCGCCGGGTCTGCCGCTGCCGCCGCCCTCCGGCCCAGGCTGGAGCCGAAGCCCCACCGGCCTGTCCCCGGCCTGGGGCCGGAGCTGCCCTGTGCACATTCTCACGCCGGCACCACCTGGCGCCACCCCGTCCAGGCGCCTGCCAACCACCGCCCCCAAGTGCCGGGCCTGCGGGCGCCAGGCCTGTCCCCTGTGGGTGGGCGCCTGTGGGGCTCACGTGGCTCCCTGCTGGGTGTGCGCGGTCAGCGCAGAGCCCGACGTCCTCCTGTGGGCGACGGACCGCGGGCGCACGCCCTTCCGCTGTTTTGCAAAAGTGTCCGCGCGAGAGGGTGACCCACCTGCGGTTAAACGCCCCACCCCCGCCCCGCTTCCGCTCAGCTGCCTCTGCCGCCCCCGAAAGCCGCGCTTGGAAAGGGACGCTGGTGACCAGTGCAGAGGCCGGCCGGGCGGGGCCTGGTGTCTCCTCGCTCCGCTGAGAGCTACGCAAGGGTGGCGGTTCGGTCTCAGCGGGAGTCCCCGCAGGCCGGCGGTTCCCTCGCCGTGGTCGCAGCTGCCGATGCCGGCCCTTCGGAGTGGCCGCGCCTTCCTGGCTCCGCCAGCGTCCGTGCTGCCTCCTCGGCTCTGACACGCTTCCTTCAGGCCCCTGTTTCCTGTGTTTATGTGCTGACATCGTACGAGTCGCGGTTTTCTTTGCCCTTCTGTCCTTTGAGAACACAACAGTGAGATCGGAACCCAGAGGAGCAGCCTGGAGGGGGGCGGTCTCCCCTCAGGGTCCCATTGCTGCCCTTCCGCTCCCTGCCGGCCCAACCCCCTCGTTTCCCGGGCTGCGGGCTGCGGCGCGGCGCCAACGGAGCTTCTGATGCGCGCGCTCTGTCTTTTTCAGGTGACTCCCCGAGCGACGCAGGTAAGGAGCGGCCTTCCGGCCTTCCGGCCTTCCGGCCTTCCGTCCGCGAGGGTAGGGAGGTGCGCGCGCTCCCTGGGGCGTGTGCGCCACGCTGGCTCCGTGAGGCACGCCCTCACCACGCCACTTTGAGATTTAATTTACACACTTTATGTGTCGAATACGGTTCAGGTTTTTTCCCCAGAGAATAAAGCATATTTTCAGTATTCCGATTTTGGTGGATTGTCACTATTTCCTAAAGTTTAAAGCTCTTTCACTTTAGTGGCGTACCTTAATAGCTTGAACTTATTATTTACTGAGTAAACCTTTTTTTTCCACATGAAGAACCTTTGTCCAGTTTATAAATATAACATGGTATATACCCAAAGTAGGACATTTTTAAAATGCAGAAAAATACAAAGAAGAAAGGGCACAGCACGGGCAGCCCCACTGCCCACAGGTTCAGTGACCGCGCCTGGCGCCTGTGTGTGCGCATGCGGGGACTAGACCCGGGCTGGACCCTGTCCTTACACCTGAGCGTGGTGGTGCCGCAGCGCACGGGGCCTCGCGCCTGACGACGCCCTGGCTCCCTGCCCCCCTGCTGCCGTGGCCGGGCTGGCCTGGGAGCCTGGGCGCAAGGGCCCTCCGCGTGGCCACGCCTCCCTTCCGGCTGCATTTCCTTTAAGTGGAATTGCTGGCTCGAGCGCCGCCTTTCGGGTTCTTTCTTCAGAAGGTGCACCGGTCCGGGGCGCCCCCTCTGTGCGTCCACCAGGCTCCGTCCCCCCCGGGGCGCCAGGGAGTGGCAGGCGAGGGAAGCGCCTTTGCCCTTGCAGGTCAGCGGTTACCGCCTTCTCCGATGTGCACCAGTTGTTCATGTTCTTTCCTTTGCACACTGCTGGCTCGGGTGCCGTCCCTTCAGAAGGAGAAGCGGGACCCACTGGTCAGGACAAGCCCCAGGTGCCCGAGATCCCCGAGGGCCCCCCGGACCTCCCGCCCGACACCAGGTTTGTGCTCTCCCCCCGCTCCCCGCACTGACACGCACCCCGCTCCGTCCCCGCCGTGGTGTGTGTAGCGCTTCAGCTTAATGCTGACGGAGCCTTTGTGCAAGGGAGGTGGAGTCCATGTGGGTCGTCCTTCGCCTGCGTGACAGCTGCCTACACGGGGGACGTTTTAGAAATCTGGGGGAATTCGTGATTATGGTAAATTGTGTCACGTTTCAGTTGCTGAGAGTGTTATTTGGTACCTTAAAATGAACGGAAATGGAGGGCCCCAGGATGGGTGCTCTTTCGGGCGACGGAACGTCGCCAGTGCTGCGGAGCCCGTGCACACCAGCGGGCGGCGCGGCCTGCCTGTCAACGCCGAGCTGGCCGGGGCCTCCTGGTCCGCTGGGGGGCGGCGGACGTGCTCACGGCCCCGTTTTGCTTCCCCGCTGTCTGCTCCAGGAGGCTCCCTCGGCCCGGGAGCGCCAGGCCGGCGCCCCCCCGGGTGAAGCGGCAGGACAGCGCCGAGGTGCTGGCGGCTGACAGGTGAGGCGGCTCCGACCGGAGGGGCGGGGGCTTCTCCCGGCGGTGGGACCCCGGGGAATGGGGGCCGTGCACGTGCTGGACGGGTGGGGGTGGCTGGTGCTGGGAGCACTCGCTGCTGAGAGGCAGAAGAACCGGGGGAGACCCTCCCCTGGAGCCTCGCGTTCTGGGTCCGGGAGGGAGCGCGCAGGTGTGCGTGCAGCGAACCTTTAACGTAGGTGGGGAGGAGGCTAGAGTGCCGGCCCTGACCTCTAGATAAGGGGTTTTCGAAGCGCAGAACCAACGAGGGGAAAATCGGAAAAAAGATGTAAAGGCTAGTTTCCCAGAAAGTGAGAACCGAACGTCGTGAGCAGGTCCTAACCAGCCAAGCCAGGGCTTCCGCAGGTTGGCAGACCTGCCCGTGGGCCCAGGCCGGCCGGCGCTTCCGGCTGGGGCTGGAGGCTGGACTTGGCGGCCGCGAGGGGAGACGCTTCCTCAGGCTTGCTGCAAAGGCACAGAGAGAAGCAAAGGGAAGGAGGGCGTGGCGAGGGGAGTCACCAGCTCTTGACTTTGAGACGAGAGAACAAGCACACTCTTGGGGTGACGGGTGGCCCAGTGGGCGCGGACTCGGAGATGCGGCAGGAGCGGGCTGGGGGCGTGGGAACAGCGCCCCCGACCGGGCGTGAGCGCAGCCCCGCAGGGGAGACTCCGGCGGGGCGCACTCTCTGGGCTTCCTGCTGCTCCTCCTGGGCCGGGAGTCGGCCTGGCGGGAGGTGCAGGAGTTGGGGGGGGCGACGCCGGTCCCCGCGAGAGGGGTTGGTGACCTGCTGGTACAGGGGTTTTCATCTGGGGGCCACCCACGCCCCCCGAATTGGGGGCCACGTGTGGAGGTAGAGCGTCATGACTGGAAGGAGGTGGAGGGAAGGTTCTTGGCATGTAGTTGGGGGGGGTTGGGGCCAGGGGTGCTGCCACCCACAGAGAGCAATTGTGTCCCCCCACCCAGGGAGCAGGCAGGTGGGACCCTCAGGAGGCAGGAGGGGCCGGGGCTGGCGAGGGTCTGCAGAGGAGGGAGGCCCGTGGGGGAGGCAGGGGCTGGGAGGGCGGGATGGGGCCACGGTGGGGGCGCAGGGTGTGAGGGATGAGGGTGAGGTGCGGCCGGTCCCGCGGAGGCGGGCCTGCGGGCCGCGTGGTGGGCCGGGGTGGGTGCAGAGCTCCTGCCCAGGGGCCCGGGCCCCCTCCGGACCTCGACCGCTGTGCTGAGTCAAGGGAGCAGCTCACGGCGTGTAGCGTATGTGCGTGTGCGTGCGCATGCGTGTGTTGCCGGGGTGACAGCAGGGCAGGGGAGTGACGGGTGTCCGGGAAGCCAACGGCACGAGGTGGGCGGGGAGGAGGTGAGGGCAAAGGGGCTGTGGCCGAGGTTCGGGGTGGTGGGGGCAGGGCCCAGACCCACACCGAAGACGCTGGCTTGGTCTGCGGGGGTGACGGTCGGCAGGCAGCCCCCACAGGTGCCTGTTGGAGGCCGGGAGAGCACCGGCTGGGAGGGCCAGCGCGCGGGCCAGCGGCCGCAACAGTGGCAGGGCCTGCGGGCAGCGGGTGTGGCGGTGGGCGTGCTGGGCAGGCGCGTGGGTCAGAGCAGCGACCAGGAGCCAGCGGAAGGGCCCCGAGGCAGCTGCCGTTCCCAAGTGACGCTGAGGAGCAGAGAGCCAGAGGGGCCACCCTGGCCACTGTGGCCTGAAGCCGGGGGGCTGGGAAGGGAGCCTTCACGTGAGGGGCTCCGGTGGCAGCGAGGCCTTGCTGGGGGGCGGCCAGGGGAGGTGGCAGGTCAGGATGGCAGGTGGACGGGGCGGGGCGGGACGCGCGTGCCTGCCTGCAAGTGTGGGGGGCGGGGCTGCACACCCCGGGGCTGGCAGAGGGCGGGGCCCCCGGGAGGCCCCAGGGGCCTGGGCCTGCCCGCCCTCCACCCCTGCCTGCTGTGAGGTGTTCTGACGCCGCCGCCGGTACACGGCCCTCACGCAGTCCAGATGCCCGGGGTGGCTGGAAATGTCACTGAGGCAGCCGCTGTGACTTAAGCTGACTCCCTTTGTCCAGGACCGGGAGCGGGAAGACCGTGTCCAGCGTGATCGTAGACGCCCAGGCGTCCGACGATGAGGACGACCAGTTCGTGGTGGAGGCCGAGCCCCCGCTGGCCACAGCGTCGGAGCGCGAAGGGGTCAGTGTCAGCGGCCGGCGGGGGATTGCCCTTGCGCGCACGTGTAGCTGCGCGGAGATGACCTTTCCTCTGATTTTTCAGTTAGTTTTCTGCCCTGTTTAATCTCGTCACTCCTCTGCCTAGATCCCCACAGGCAGAGTTTTGAGGACTCGGCAAACCCGGGTCCCCTGTTTTCTCCTCCTTTTCCTGCACAGGCGCAAGCGGTGGAGCCGGAAGAGGATGAGAAGCATGGTGAGTCCTGGGCGTCGGCTGCGTGTGCCTGCCGGGCTGGGAGGCCACACCGCAGCATGGCCCCTCTGCGGGCGGGGCTTTCCGTCCCGTGGCCGATGACGCTGCCCCTGCCCTTGGGGAACCTGGGGGTCAGCTGTGGGCTCTGTTGCAGGGGCCCTATTGGTGCCGTGGGGCTGCGCGCGTCGCGGGGGTCCTGGGTCGCAGGCTGGGCCTGCTGCCGGCTCACCCCCGCCCCTCCCCGGCCGCCTTGCTTTAACGCGTCTCGCCCTGACGCAGAGGAAGTGCCTGTTCTTGCAGGCTTCTTAGAAGCAGTTCACAGTTACCGTATCTGTAATTGTTTTGAATGCTCATCTACATTTTTTCTTAATTTTTGGAAGTAGAATATCTGTTTTATTTCCGAGGAGTTTTTTTTTACCTTTCGAGGAGCCTATTTCTTTGAACCTCCATGAAACTGTAGAGCAGCGCCAGCGCCAGCGGCGGCCCCGACTCCCGTAGGCTCCCTCCTGGCAGCCGAAGGGCGTCGGACGCTGCCTCCAGCGTTGGGGCGGGGGGGGGGGGGGAAGAGCCAGGACTGAGCCCTCTCCCCACCTGCCCGCCCGATTTGGAACAGAACTCCTCCAAAGGGCAGAGGACAACCTGAACATAGGCCACTGCCTTTCCACAGGAGGACTTGTCACTAAAATTTTGGAGACCAAGAAAGATTACGAGAAGCTGCAGCTGCCAGCCGGGCCTGGAGAGAAGGTGAGGGTGAGCGGCTGCCGCCGGCGGCACGTCGCGCGCTCTGTTCACGTGCTCTGTTCACGCGCTCACTGTAGCCAATCAGCAGCGCCTTTCCGGTGTTGCGATCGTGGCATCGGTTCTTATATTTAAAAGCACCCCCCCCCGCCCCCCCGTTGGGAGGACAGACCCTTCCAGGCTCTTGTGGTGCGATGTCACTTTCCCGTATCAGCCCTGTCCCTGGGGGGCAGGAGCCCCGTTAGGGGCTCAGCAGGCTGGGCCGGGGGCCTGCTCTGCACGACTCGGCGGTGCCCCGCTCGCCCCGCATGCCCGCCTGCGGAGGTGCCCGGCCCTGGCTGGCTGCGGGATTGGGGGCGTTCGCCTGGCTCTCGCCCGCGGGGCCCTGGGCCACTGGCCTCCCGGCAGTGTCTCTCTCAGGTGTGTGGAGGGATTTTATCGGACCGACCTCCTACCCGTGCCTGCCCCTGGGCACCTGACCCTGCGGTGGCCACCGCAGGCCAGGGGGTGCGCCTCAGTGTCCCGGCTGGGTTTCTGTGGCAGTGGTGTAAAAAGTAGACATAAATATGGTGGGGTGTTTTTGAACAGAAAGGTGTTTCTTGGATAGTTTTACAGCAGCCAACAGTCCCCACGTTTTATAACATACGTTCATTTAACGGTTATCTGCTGTAGATCATTCAGCCTCAAATGGCCTAGTATGCCCTGCAGCCTGGCCTGAGGCAGCCGAGAGGAGGATCGTGCCGAGAATGCGCGTTAGGGGGAGCCCTTCCCACACTGATGGGACCCTGCCGCCCGAGGTGCCCCTTGGCCCGCTGCTGGCTCTGCTGCCGGAGGCTGGTGCTGGGGAATTTTCACCTGCCTGTCATGTGGGGGTCCTCCTCACAGGCCCAGGGCCGGGCTGTCCTGGCTGTGCCCTGAGGCGGGAGGCGGTGCCTCCAGGCCGTTTCCGTGGGTGACCTTTGAAGCTTCGGTTGGTTTCAGTTTTGTAGCTCTGATTTCTATGCAGAGCACACCAGGCCGTGCTTCAGAGTTCCTCTCAAGAGTGGTTTCAGAGCAGCAGGCCCCATGGCTTTGGCAGATTAAAGGGGAGGCAGGCGCTTGCCCTGGAAAGAAGCCTCTGGTGAGTGCTTCTGGGCGGGGCTGCGGCGGGAGGCGGGGCCAGGGCGGCCTGCGGGGCCAGGGCGGCCTGCGCCGCGCTCTTCAGTGCGTTGATGCTCACCAGGGTCATGGCTAGCTTGCTGGTCTTCTAGAAATCCTCGATTTTTTTTTAATACAAAAACCGAAAATGTACAGGAAGAGTTGAAGGCCTTCCTGCCCTCGCGCCGGCCCCCTCCCCCGGCGGCACGCCTGTGCCCCTGTGCCCTGCAGCTGCACGTCTGGCGCTGCTCCGGGAGACTCCGCGCTACCCTGTGGCCATTGGCCCTCTCTTCCGGCAGCGTTTGTTCCTGAGACGGCCTGGTTTTGATGCCTGCAGATCTATTTGTTCATTGTAATCGATGACCAGTTGGTTATTCCTTTACTGATGGACATTCAGTTTCTTCAGCCTTTCGCCGTACACGCCATGCCTCTGTGGGCGCCTTTCATGGCTTCTGGCAGACGCGAGCCCGCGGCCTTCGAGCCGCGGGCGGTAGGGGCTCTCTGTCGAGGGCTGGGCGGCGGCGTGTCGGGCCCGAGCCGGGCAGTCTCCGGGCGGCCGCCAGCGCGGGTAGCAGCCGCAAGTGTGCGGCCATATCCCAGCAGGACCCAGCCTGGGGCTGTCACAGGTGACGCCTGCCCCAGCGGCTGCCTGGTGCTCCTCACGGCAGCCGCCGCCGTTTGCCCTCCCTGTGGGTGAAAGTCTGAGCACACACGCGTGCCAGCCACGGTCAAGGCAGGGTCGCGCCCGTCACCCGCGACAGTGGCCTGCACCCTCCACCCCGCCCCCGCCCTCCGGGCCCCTCACCCGCTGCAGGGCACCGCCCTTCGGGGTGCGTTTCCTAGAGCTGCAGGTGAACGCAGCCGGGTGGAGGCGCTGCTTTCTGGTCTGGGGGCTCTTCGCTCCGGTTACTTGGTGATGTCTCTGAGCTGCAGCGCCGATCCCGGTGCGTCCCTTTGTGCCGCCGAGTAGCAGCCCGTGGTGGGGCGACGGCAGCGTGGTCGCCCGCTCCCTAGGCAGGAGCCGCTGGGCGCGCTGTGTCTGGGGCTCTACCCGCTGCAGCGGGCGGCCGGGCCAGCCTGGGGGGCGACACCGCCGCGCTGTGGTGAGCGCCTGCCGGGGGCGCTGCTGGGCCACGCGGTCAGTGTGTGTTCACCGTGTTAGGAAACCTCAAACGGTTTTCCTGTGCGGTTCCACCATTTCGTTGGGTTGGCCTGAAAGTTCGTTTGGTGTTATTCCCATAAGACGGCTCTCATAGTGCCTAGTTGTCTTTAACTCCCTTTGAAACAATTTTGTTAGATTGTATTGTGACAGCTGTCATATCAGCGTGCATTTAAAAAAACTTAGCAAAGTTGGTGAATTTTTGTGCAGCCATTTTAATACTGAAGGTGGAAGAAAGTACACAACATTTTCGGCATATTGTGCTTTTATTATTTCAAGAAAGGTACAAATGCAACTGAAACGCAATAAAAAAGATCTGTGCAGTGTTGGAGAAGGTGCTGTGACTGATAAAATGTGTCAGAAGTGGTTTGCGAAGTTTCAGGCTGGGGATTTCTTGCTGGACGATGCTCCACGGTCAGGTAGACCAGTTGATAGTGACCCAATCGAGACATTAATTGAAAACAATCAACATTCTACCCTGTGGGAAATACTTGACCTACTCAAAATATCCAAATCAATAAAGTTAGTAGTAAAAATGAAACATGTGCCTTTTATTTTACGGAAAAAAACTAAACAGACTCTTTGGCCTCCCAGTACTTTATGGGAAGGTCCCCGTCCCGCACGTCCTCAGCCTTCGTGACTTGTGGCGGTTTTACTGCGCATGTCCTGCCGGCTCCTGATCCCTCCGTCCACACTGGCCGTCCGGTGTTGCTGGCCGGCTGTACCTCCCAAAGCCACCCTTCTGCCTGTGCTGTCCTGTTTCTGGGTTTCTTTTGGTAATTAATATTTGAGTCAGTGAGGGGTAAGTTTACCTGTGAGGGAAGGAAAGATCTAGAACAGTAGTGGCCTCCATGTGGCAGATGCTGTAGCTCGTGTGTCCCAGCCTGGAGCGGTGGGGACCCCAACGCCTGGCGGATCCCCTTCACTCCCAGGCCCCCCCCAGCCAGCAGGGGGCGAGGCAGGGCCCACCCTCCCCTCTGAGGCTGCCTGCTGGGAGCTGCGCAGCCTCAGGTCTGTCCCCCAGGGACTGGAGGCGAAGTCTTCACCCCAGGCCTCGCTGGCTTGGCGGGCAGTCTGGTCCCAGGAGCACAGACTGAGACTTGCCAGGTTTTCCCGCCGCCTGGCGAGCTCAGGAAATGGCAGCATCGGCGAGGCCTGTGCGGGGGTGGGGGAGGCTGCCTGCCTGGCTGGGCACGAGGGTTTCTGGGCCGCATGCGTGTGGCCTGCCCTCGGCGGCGCGAGGCCTCAGGGGGCAGAAGCAGGCTGGCGGCCGCCTCTCCACCGCGTCTCTCTCGGGAACGGTCCCTTTCATTCACATTTTAGGTCATGGTGTGTAGATGTTTGAAGTCTACTTTATGATTTTAAAAAGGTACTATAGTTACAGTTTTCCTTTCCTTCCAGAAATGTCATTTTTTTCCTCCTTGATGAGACTTTTTAAAAAGTACTGAAATAGGCACCCTCTAGGAGGGAATCAACTTTTGGTTTTGTAGACATTCACTTTTGTGTTGTTTACATTTTACTGATTTTTACTCTATTTTTCCTTTTAATTTCTTTAGGTGTTTACTTTTTCTAGCTTCTTTTGTAAAGCTTAGCTCATTTATTTTAAGTCTATCATTTTAAAAATTAACATATTTAAGCTATACTTTCTCTTTAAGCGTGCTTTGTCCTTAAATTCGAAATTCCTTGAATGATAAATTATTAAATATTAAAATTTCTTGAATTTTAATATGAAGTCCTTTGCTATTTCTTTTAAACATGTGGGCTATTTAGGAGTCTGTTGCTTAGTTTTCAAAGACAAGGGTTTTTAAAGGCTTTTTATTGACAATACGTAAAATAATCGCACGGTCAGAGAACGTGGCCTGTGTGATACTGAGCATTTGGGCTCAGTACTCGGCGTTGAGTACCGGGGCCCGGGGCGGCCGCGCGCATGACCGCTGCCGTAGGCCAGCGCGGTGACGCACCCCATGCTGCGGGACCGTGCCTGCCTGTTACTGCTGATGTGCGCAAGCTAATTTTAACGTTAGCGGCTTATCTTCTCTGTATCCCACTTAAAAATTCGAAGAGTGGATGCTCCTTCTGCCCGTCGCCTAAGTCGTAGTGTGCCCTGGGCGCTTGGTCCTGGTCCTCCTTTCTTCCTCTGGAGGAGCCTTGTTTCTAAGGCTAAGGAAGTGCATGTTTGTAATCTGGGCATCTCTCCAGCCGGTCTTTGAAGTTGCATTGGAAGAAAAGCCACTTCTTACTGTACTAATGGGTTGAATAATACATTATAGAATAAATATGTGGATCAGACTGCTCTGAGCGTTTTTTTTATTATCCTGACTGACTTGTTCTCTTTTCAAGAGGAAATGTTAAACTTTGTTAATGGTAGGATAATTCATGCCAACCTTTTTTTTCCTTCAGATTTATGAAGTTTTTAAAAAACAACCAGAAAAGCGCTTTTATTGGTGTTTCTTATGTTTTAAAAATACTTGCTTTTTAAACGTTGTAGGTGAAGATGCTTCAGAGCAGCAGCTCCAAGGCGAGCGGTGTGCTCTCCGCCAGGGGCGGTGAGGAGCGTCCTCTCTCTGATCCTCTGCCTCCTTCTTCCTTCTCTTCTTTCTGCTCTTTTCCACGTCCTGTCTGTTTTGGTGTAATGTCAATTTCAGAGACTTGCTCTTTTTGCTTAAATTCTGTACCTTCAAGTGGACTCTGAGTATTTCCCTTTGTGCTG